AGACCGGCCCGAGAGTCAGGTCCGGGGAACAGGGAGAGTCCTCCGCCAGACCCCGTCCTCGCCTCCCTTTCGGGTGGGGAGCCCGGGACTGAAGCCGCGTGGTCAGCGGGGTCCCGCCCTGCGCCCCCGGCCAAGGTCCTGGAGGCGAGCCCGGTTCCCTTTTGGTTTGGGTGGGAATGCGCGGGGAGTACGGACCCACCCCGGGTGGGGTGCTGGTGGGATGGGCTGGAGGGTGGAGGTGGTGACCGCCAGCTGTCTGCAGGGACCGCGAACGTGAAAGGAGGGTGCTCTTCTCCTCTGCAGGGATGGGGAGGAACCGGGAAAAGTGCTGTGTGCAGATTTGTCACATGTCTGCTTTGGGTTCGGGTCCTTGTAGAAGCCTCTTAAATGTGGAAAATTCGAGAAGATGAGAGAGGCGGAACATAACAGCAGCGAGTACGGGCCCGCCAGTGTCTGTGCCTTGCAGAAGCTGAGTCGCCTGATCCTCGGAGAACCTCACAGACCTGCCAGGTCGGGTCCAGTCCGGTAGGTCTGGTTGCCGCAGGCTGCAGGCGGCTGCGCGCAAGGTGTATGGAATGAGACGCTCCAGCAGCGTAAAACACACCAGCCTTCAAGGGCTCCAAAGTTACAGTGTAGAATGCTCCATTGCTAATTTTAAAATACTGATTCCGAGTCAAAATGATTATATTTTGGATAGACTTTGTGAAATAAAAAAAAAATTTGCAACTAATTTCATTTAAATTTCAATAGAAAACTAGAAATTTTTAAAACTATAGACGAGGCTCACACCGATAGTGGACGTTATATTTCTGTTGACCAGCACTGAGGTAGAGAAGGCAGGATTACTGCCCCTGTTTCACAGGGCAGAGGGCAGGTGAGAAGGCCTGCAGCCTAGAGCAGGTAAGGAAGCGAGGAGAAAGCTCAGCTGAGTTCAAAGGTTTGCACCGGAAGAGGTCACGACCAACTAACTTCAAGAGGATTGCGCCCTGGGCTGGTGGGGGGGGGGCGCCTTGCCTTCTGCTCTCTGCAGCTGGCGTCTCCAGTTATAAAATGATGATAATTATACGTGCCCTGGGAGCTGGCTTTGTGAGCAGGAAATGAGAAGCTGCGTGTGAAAGCAGGCTGGGTTTATGGAGCAGAGCAGGTTGGGTTTATGGAGCAGAAATGCCTCCATAAAGCCCAGGGATGCTATCATTATTACAACCATGAGTGCCTTGCCTCGTTAATGCTTGGTCTTTGTCAGAGACAGCAGCGCACACCTGTCGTGCATGCCTGGTCCCTTGAGTGCTCTTCCTCACTGCACTGCACCTCCAAGCATACAGTGGTCGCCTTGTTAATACCCTGAGGCCGGGGATGAATGTCCTAGACTCTGTCCTCTTCCCCTTCCCACGCTGCTGGCCCCCACTGGAAAGCTGTCCCATTGATGCTTTTCAGGGCATGGCCTCCACCTCCTCCCAGCCCACCTCCAGTCCCACACCTTGGCTCTTGGAGCAGCCTGGGCCTTCCAGACCCCAGCAGTGGCCCTGCTCTGGGTGACCTCAGAGATGATCACTCCACAGACATTTCCTGGGAACAGTGGCCTGTGGCTTTTGCTGTTTGAAAGTGGATATTTAAAGCCAATAGTAGCAGAGAATGAGACCTGGAAGGGACCCATACCAGGGATGTGAAGTCCCTAACAGGAGGGTGATGAGGTCTGCTGTGGAAGTGCTTTGATCACCCCATGGAGTGAGCTGACTGCCACTTCCAGCCTTGGTCCTTCAGCACATCACCCCACCCGAGAGCCTCTGTTTGGGTATCGGGAAACCTGCTGTTACACTGTGAGGATGGAGCACCGTGTGCACTGGACACTGAGTCAACACACAGTGAATGCATTGACAGTGCCACTCACCAGGGCACCCAGTACTGTGCTTTGTGGATTCCTGGCAGCCAGTGTCTTCCCAAGTCTGCCAGCTCCTGCCAACCAGTGCTTCCCGCCCACTGGCTCTTTGTCCCTCCCCACCCCAGTCCGCACCCGCCCCTGGTGCTATTAATGTGTAAGCAGAGTCCACAGGCAGATGTTAGCATAATGCCTGCCCTGCCCGCTGTGACTCATCTGAAGCTGCTCTCCTCCTGTGTAAATACCCAAATCCACCACGTCGTCACAAAGCAGTGCTATTTGCCCAGCACTGAACAGATAATAACAGGAGGAAATGGAGCCAACGAGTTCTCTTTTTCCCTAGAAATGGCCTCGGAAAAGCTTTAGGGGGAAAACTGCTTCCCCCATCACTCTATTTTTTTGTCTAGAAAGAAGCAGCTCTGTTGGCTTGAGGGGTGATGGCAAGAGACACCGGTGTCCTCCAGCCACAGGCCATTCCCAGTCGGACCCACTGATGTGCATGGTGTCTGAGCACCAGATTCCCCTCACTGAAGCCTCCCTGGTGGTGAGGAGGAAATCGAGGGTAAAGAGCTTGCCTCAGATGGAAGGGCCGCCATGCCTGTTCACGGGGGCACTCGAGTCCCACCCTTCTCTCCGAGGGCCCCAACAGGAAGGTTCTGGGGACAGTGCTCTAGTGAGAGTGTGATGTGAATGCACAGCTTGGTGATTACAGCTCACTGATGCCCTCTCTACTGTGATATCTACATTTAGTCCTATTACAGGATCCGGAGATTTGCAAACATTAGTTTCCTCTGCAGAGAAAATAAGGGAACTCCAAGAGCCACCCTAGTGGATAGAAGTCCCACTTTTATGGGTCAGTCTCACATCTGCTTTGTTGGTCCCCTAGATACCCCAGTGTGGTGGGTTAATTAACAGGTCAACTGGGAATGCCCAGCTGAACTGAGTCATGGAAGACCCACCTGAGGACTGTTACCAGTGGCATAAAAGGAGGGGAAGATTGTTTGCTGTTGGCTTTTCTCAGAGAAGCTTGCTGCGGATGGTTTTCCGGATGTGAACTCAGCTGTTGGCATTGGAGGAGGAGCTTGGACCTCGCTGTTGCCGGGAATGGCTGCTGTTTTATCAGAGGAGCTCTGATCTTCACTGCAACACTTTCTGTCTCCAGTGCAGATCCCTCAGCCTGGGGGCACAGCTCCTTCACCCCATGACGTACTGGCCTTTGGATCTTCTGGGTGCAGATCCTTTATATGGAAAAGCGTGAGACATCACCATGGGCTCCAGGCCACTGGCTGGACTCATGGAGGACACTGCCTTGGGCTCTTGGCCTTCAGCTGGGCTTGTGTGGGACACTGCTGGGATCCAGGCTGCATTCTTCGGGTCTCTAGCATGTGGACAGATGTCTTGCACTCCTCTGCATTTGACTTTTAGGGTGAATATTATAAAATAATTCTGTAAATTATGTGTCCTGTATTAAATCTATTCCCTTGTAAACCCAAACTACAACACCCAGTTTCTCTTTCCCATGAAACCCATCTGGTGAAGCCTCGCCTGCCCCTTCTTAATAAAAGCATCTGTGAAAATGAG